TGTCTATTTTACTTGCTCTAATTCCATAATTGTGTACCTGTGCTGTGCTGATATATAGTCACATGGGATTGGGAGGGACAGTTCGGTGTAAGACTGTCCTTCCTGTTACCAGGCAACAGAGAGATGACTCTATCACTTTAAAAGGAAGGACTATAAGTCACTAAAGGACAGAGTTAGTGTTAGAGGGTGTTTGAGTGGCCGAAGTGGACCATTGTTTTGGTACACGTACATATCCTACTTGTATTCAAATAAGAACCGAACGAAGAGTCAGGCTTCTTTTTGGCTTTTTCCTCTTCCATCTCTCCCTCCCTCTATCTTGAGGCTCCTTCACTGCACCTCTGGTTAAATGTCAGGGAAATGTCACATTAATTATCCTCCATGAGACTTTGTGTCCCATTCTGTTTTCAGCCCCTCCTTTCTCTCCCTATTCTCACTAGAACAGGCTCTGTCTACATCTGTCTCTAATCAGATTTCGCTGCATGGCCCTACCACACAATAAGATTATGTCAGACCGCCGTCATATCATTGCAAATTACCGCCTGGTCATATTTCATAGCTAGACTTTTTGGCATTCACTAGTCCTGCATTACCATTAGTGCTGGGCGGTATACCGGTTCATACCGAATAACGGTGTTTATTTTTGTTATGATATGAATTTTTAAAATACCGTAATACTGGTGTATGTCGCTTAAACAACGTTCGGAACGCGACACTGTTTGAAAGGGGTCCCTTTTCACTGTTGCACTGTGGTGAGGGAACAGCTGAATGTGTTACTAAGCGTGAAAGTTCCGAAACTGAAGATGTAGAACTAATAGAACGTGATCTCATCCACAATATCCACATTGACCGCCACAAATATCCACCGCCCCCTGCCATCAGCTCCCACGTCTCACACACGAGTGCGACTTTAGCACTAGATTTAGCAACATTCAGACCCTTTTAGCGACTTTTTTCCATAGAATATTCATACTGACAAACCTAGCGACTTTTTTGGATAAACCTTAGTTATGGTTCAGTTGGAAGATTTCGCCAGTGCTGTCCCGCGAACGCGATGTCTGACTTTCCCAGAGGAGTGTCACCTCTCACGGCGTATGTTCTGTGCAGTGAGCGGCAGAGAAGCAGCGCATTCAGTTGGCCGCACCGCAGCCGACTCGTCAATAAATGAGTACAAAACAGAGTTTGCTAGCACTTGTCGCTTACTGATTGTTTGGAATGAAATATGAGCAAAGTTCGTCTGTTAATATCACATGCACTTTTTATGTTTGTTGTTTTTTTTAGTTTGTTACTCAGACGCAGGCAGTGTGCTGCATGAGACAAAAAAGTAATATAGCTAAACCAACCGCATAGCCGCTCTTTAGTGTAGATGCATGTTGATTTTATCAGACGGTGCCGCGATTATAAATGAGAGTGACTCCTGGTTAACATGTATTAAAAGGGGTCGTGTTTAGTCACTATTTAGTATAGTATTTTTTGACAATATTCACTCATTCTAAGTCAATATACTGCAGTATTTCCTCTCTCAATCAGTAGAAAATATGGTTAACACCCGGTCATGCATGAATAAAAAATACCGTCTACCGTGAAACCGGTATAATTTTGAAAAATACCGTGATATCAATTTTTGGTCATATCGCCCAGCACTAATTACCATGCTATTTAGTGGATACTAGTAGTGTAGTAATTAATAGTGTTTACAAGATAGAAGGTGGCATTTGCTTTAAGTTAAAGGGGTCATATGATGCTTTTTTTAAAGATCATTATTTTGTGTATTTGGTGTAACAGAATATGTTGACATGCTTTAATGTTCAAAAAACACATTATTTTTCAAATACTGTACATTATTGTAGGTCCTCTATGCCCCGCCTCTCTCAAACGCTTCGTTTTCTACAAAGTCCCTCCTTCCGACAAGCGCAGTCTGCTCTGATTGGCCAGCTGACCCAGTGCATTGTGATTGGCCGAACACCGCAAGCACTCATCGGAAATGTAACGCCCCTTACCATAATCGCGAGCTTCATCTTTCAAAATAAATGTAAAGACATTAAATAATGTCATTGGTTTTACCATCAGTTCAAGCCCGAAACGGGAACAGACACAGTTATGATGCAGTACACAAGCCGCAGTTAAGACAGCTGACTCTACTGTGATGTGACGCTGTCTCTCTCTCTCTCTCTCTCTCTCTCACACACGATGCGCAAAACTCAACATTTGAACAGTCAATAGCAAATACCAGATTGTCATAGCAAAGTCAGAATGACCTCCTCTCCTAGGTTCACGAAACGGTCGTCCATAAAATGCATTGCTGTTCTGTTGTAAGTAATCTTAAAGATCTACTTTCAGAAGGCCAAATAAAGTGCTTTTGCTTTCGCCTAGAAACACACAGCTTCTCCCTGACATGGCTGCTTCAACACTAACTGCAGTTCCTGAAACCACGCCTTCTTTCTTTGCGTGAACATTTGGGCGCATTATGCAAATATTTCCACATAGTGAGGTAGATATATGGGGGCGTGTTAGAACGAGCCGTTTTAGGGGGGCGTGGCAGAGTCTTAACTTTGATAAAGAATATCTCTTTGGTTTTGAGACTTTAGTCTTTGCAACTTCAGGGATCTTATCTATGCACAATCAGCTTGTAACACTCCAAAGAGAAAGGAAAACTTGAAATCACATCATATGACCCCTTTAAGGACCTTGTATTGAAGCCTCATGGTCAAAGCTCTGACGCTTCAGTTGAGGCATGAATGCTGAGGTAGTAAATGTTGTTTTTAATTAAACGGTACATGCAGTTTATCACGTAATAGGCCCTACCTTGATTCAGTGCCATTTATAACCGGTATTGACAAACTACACTGTAAATCTAGGTTTTGCATCTATAATCTATATGCATTTTAAGCACAGGCCTTCAAATCTGAGTATATGCATAGATAACATAAAATGTTTAAAAAAAAAACATGAAAGATGAAATTATATGATATAATGGTGTGATATGATGGCAGTCTGACAATCTTATTCTATAGTAAGGCCATGCGGTGAAATCTGACATATATTATAGTTCCCTTTTAAAATCATAAGGATTTTAACCGAAATCTAACAAGCATACAGCATACAGTATATTGCTTTAAATATTGCACCTGGAGGAGACAGACAGACTGCTGGCATTAGAATACATTCACGATGTAAGGAATGACAAATCATCTAAGATGAATCCCAATTAAAGGTGGTGCTGTGAGTTCAGGCTATAAGCACGAACAGGTCATGACGGAATAATTAGCAAATGTTCTTTTCAAAGAATCTCATTTATGATTTAGCCCATCATGTATATTGAAGACCCACAGTTGTGACCCAGGCCTGTGCCTGAGGATATGGACATTTCCTGATTCTCTGAGATGTCACAAAACACCAATCTTATTTACTATCTCCCATTTGGTATAAAGGGAAGTAATCACTTACTGGATGTGGTTATTTACAGCCAATGTCCTTCCAGAAGCCCTTGCAGCACTGAGATAATGGCAGTTACCTTCTGGTTTGCAAAGCCTTCCGTGATACTTGATAGTTGATACGAGACATTTTCACAGATCTAGATCAAATAAAATCATGTCATGAGATTATTATCATGACTTTGATTAATTAAAAAATTAAAACACCATATGGCACGTCAAAAATGGCTGAAGGTGACCCTGTTTATTGTGAGAAAGACAACGTTTTTCCTGTTCTAGTTAATGCTACTGCAATTTTATTACTATTATGTTCAAGGGACATTAATTCTTATGAGAGATTCAGATAATAAGCCATCCATTCTATCAATGCAACATTTATGAGGATATCTGACTAGTGCCTGTAAAGGTGTCTAATGTCAGGATGGCTAACCCAAAAATAGAAAACTACGGAAAGACTCCGCTTTTGTGACCA